TATATATATATATATATATATATATATATTCTTATTTATTTGTTCATATTTAGTTTTTTTATTTTTTTATTCAATATGTCAAATTATTATGAATGTTATATATTTTTAGCTACTTTCTATCATGCATTGGTTAATGTTATAAATATATAATATGTTGATTATAATGAGCACATGAATGATTGATTGTGCATAATTGATTGTGATAAAATCACTCATTTATGATACTAGTAAGGGAACACTAAGGTACGTGCCCATGTAAATATAAAAATATATTGATATCGAAGTACCTTAATTTTTACAAATTTTAGACGGTGCTCCTACGATGATTGTACATCTATAAAGTGATATAAATATACTATTGATATACTAAGATTTTTTTTTCTAATAACATTATATTCTTAAATTATCAAATATTTATATTGATTTAATAAAAAACTTAACTGTCATGCATGTTATTTTTTTTCCTTATATTATTGTAGTTTAGAAGTGTGAGAATTCATTGGCTTTGATTAGCTCACACTTATTTAAAGTTAATTTTTCAAGTTAATTTAATTGATTAAAAAATGAATGATATAAGAGAAAATATTTATTAAAGACACTGACAACCCACAACGAGATAAATTTAATTATATTACTTGAATTTCATTTTTTTATATGTTTTTTTATTTTATTAAATGTTATTTATGGAAAATGAATATAGAAAAATAAATTTTTATTGCCCGACTGTTTGTGCACGCATTGGTTAATTCTAAGTTTCAGATCATATCAGGATAAAAGGGAGATTGGAGTCAAGATTTAGGATTAATTAATGTAACTTTGATGAAAGAATCAATAGGTTAAATATAAGAAAATATTAATAGTATTGAAGATTAAAAAATTTTAGTTAACACAAGTTAATAATTATATCCATGCAAACGTAAAGATATACCCAAAATATTTAAGAAAAGAGTTTGATAGAAAACGATGAAGCACAACCTATCATAAGTGTGCACACAAATGTCCCAATCCAAATGGTAACGATAATAACTCTGCTGATTCAGGAGTTCATATCGCAACCGATCGGATATGATATAATCATGATGGATAAGTACTTTAAGATACATAAAGATTTACGTTTGTCATTGTTTAAGGAATTAAATATTTGATTGAAACAAAAAATTAACTAAAGTGAATTGAAAAGATATTAGATAGTATGAGATGTCTGCATGAAAGAAGAGTGGCATTAGCTATTTTTGTGTTGGATAGAGAAATTGAAAGGCTATGGTGTGGGCAGTGTCAGGACAAGTTAGGGGACATGCCCAATATGATGATCAGTTAGAAGGAGTTCATGGAGTTATTCAGAGAATGGTTTATACCCCTATCTGCTCGGAGAAAAATGCAAGAAAAGTGTATCAATATGAAGTAGAATTCACTATAATCTTAAGAGTATGTTCCACAATTGATCGCTATTGTAGAAGAGAAGTGCTAGAATTTTTTTTAAGGATTAAAGAATTTGATCGGGCAAAGGTTGGTGTCTTTAGAAATCGATGAATATTTGATATTAGTGGAATGAGCTAGATGAGTGTAAATTGATTATTAGTTTACTCATAAGTGTTGTATCAGATGTATCGAAAAAACATACCAGTACAACAAATACAACATAGATATACAGAGCTAAAATAGATACATGACAATTATGCATCCCTTCCTTCAATACAACAATGTTATATTGATTGCACTAATATATTTTCCCCTTATAAGGAAGAACAACATACCAATACAATTGATACATCTTAGTTATACATAGGTAAAATAGGTACATGATAATTATACAGCCCTCTCTTTGATACAACGATGTCGTATCAATTGTACCAATATATTTTCTCATCATTATGAAAAAAATATACTATTACAATCAACACAACATGATTGTACAAAGGTAAAATAGGTACATTGCAATTATGCAGCCCGCCCTCCCTTTGATACAACAGTGTTGCAGTTGTACCGATATAATTTTTCATCATAAGATGGAAAAACATACAAGTATAATTGATACAACATGATTGTACATATGTAAATAGGTATATGACAATTATGCGAGTATTCACTGCTTACATCAATGTTGTATCGGTTTTATCGATATATTTTCTCATCATGAGATAGAAAAACATATCAGTACAACCGATGCAATATTGTTGCACAAAGATAAAAGAAATACATGTCCCTTCAGTACAACAGTGTTGTATCAATTGTATCAATACATTTATCCATTACAAATCAAAATAATATCAGTACAATCGATACAATATGATTGTACAAAGGTAAAATATGCACATGACAATTATGCAGTTACCTATATTGGTGAAACAGTGTTTAGTTGTGACAATATACTTTATCATGATAAAGCAGAAAAAATAATTTGTACAACTGATACCACATGATTGTATAGAGTTAAAAATATATACATGGCAATTATGCAGCCATCCTTCTGGTACAATAATGTTATATCAGTTTTATAAATACATTTTTTTGTGACATAAGACAGAAAAACACACAAACATAACTGATACAACATAATTGTGTAAGGGAATAATAATTATATG